ACTCCTCCAACTCATTCAAATCGAGAAGCCTTTTCTTACCCGCCTCGTGAAAATCAAAGTTTATCTTCTTCACAGCCCACATAGCTCGATGCTCTAACTCAACCGGAAGATGACACGACTTACCGAAAACAAGCATGTATGAAGATGATCCCAATGGTGTCTTATATGCCGTGCGATAGGCCCAAAGTGCATCATCGAGCTTCAACGACCAATCCTTTCGATTTGTGCTCACCGTCTTCTCCAATATGTGCTTGATTTCTCGGTTCGCCACCTCTGCTTGCCTATTTGCTTGCGGGTGATAGGCTAAGGCCACTTTATGCTTGACGCCATACTTCGAAAGAAGTTTCTCCATCAATTTGTTCACAAAGTGAGAACCCCCATCACTGATTAAAGCTCTCGGGGTTCCAAACCGTGTGAAAATATGCTTCTTGAGAAACTTAAGAACAACAGCGACATCATTGGTGATCGAGGGAATTGCCTCCACCCAACGAGAGACATACTCAACTGCAAGTAATATATACCGATTCCCACATGAGGAAGGGAACGGGCCCATGAAGTCAATCCCCCAAACATCGAACAACTCGACCTCAATCATATTCGTCATAGGCATCTCATGGCGTCTAGAAATATTGCCCATTTTCTGGCATCGATCACACTGATTCACAATAATATAGCACTCTTTATATAAAGTCGGCCAATAAAAACCACTTTGTAATACCTTTGCCGCGGTACGAGTTGACCGAAAGTGGCCACCCGTCGGTGAAGAGTGACACTGCTGAAGAATTCCATCCCACTCTTCTTGTGGAACACATCGTCTAATGATCATATAAGCACACCTCTTAAAGAGAAGAGGCTCATCCCACATATAGAACTTCACGTCATGGAGGAATTTCTTCTTCTGATAAAATGACAAGTCCGGAGGTAGGACCCCAGCCACCAAGTAATTGACGATGTCGGCGTACCAAGAAAATTTGGCCTCAGTCATAAGGAGTTGCTCGTCTGAAAATTCCTCTTTAATATCACTGGTGGTATCGGCCTCTTGCCGTTTATACTCAAGCCTCGATAAATGGTCCGCCACCACATTCTCGCAACCTCGACGATCAAGTGTCTTGATTGCATAATAAATAGCTCTAAAAAAGCTTATCACGTCGCTGGCCCAACACTGCTCCAACAGCAAAATCGCTCGCATCACACATGATCTCAAATGGTTGAGACCAATCGGGGACCACCAAAATTGGAGAACTTACCAATGCTTTCTTCAACGTCTCGAATGCCTGCAAGCACTCAGCAGAAAAATTAAAAGCAATATCTTTTTCTAGTAATTGACTCAAAGGCTTCGAAATTTTAGAAAAGTCACGAATAAACCGTCTATAGAAATCGGCATGCCCAAGAAAACTCCGAATAGCCTTTTCATTTGCAGGAGGTGGAAGCTTCTCAATAGCCGAAATCTTTGCCCGATCTACCTTCAATCCTTCAGATGAGACTTTGTGACCTAGAACAATACCATCTCGTACCATAAAATGGCACTTCTCCCAGTTAAGAACCAAATTCGTCTCTTCACATCTCTGCAAGACTAGAGTAAGATTATGCAGACAAGAATCAAAAGAATCACCAAATACAGAGAAACCATCCATGAAAACTTCCATAATATTTTCAATAAGCCCATGAAAAATTGCCATCATACATCGTTGGAAAGTAGCAGGTGCATTACACAAACCAAATGGCATTCTACGAAAAGCAAAAGTACCGTAAGGACATGTAAAAGTGGTTTTCTCTTGGTCTTTCGGGGCTATCATAATTTGATTGTACCCCGAATAACCATCAAGAAAGCAATAATAGTCCATTCCTGCCAAACGATCCAACATTTGATCAATAAAGGGGAGGGGAAAGTGATCTTTACGAGTTGCGGCATTCAATTTCCTATAATCTATACAAATTCGCCAACCCGTTACAATCCTAGTCGCAATCAATTCCTCTTTCTCATCTTTCACTACTGTCATTCCTCCCTTTTTCGGCACCACTTGCACCGAGCTCACCCACTCACTATCAGAAATCGCAAAAATAATCCCGGCATCTAACCATTTAAGCACTTCTTTCCTAACAACTTCTTGCATAACAGGATTCAAACGTCGTTGGTTTTGCACAGATGGTCTATAATGTTCCTCTAATCTTATTTTATGCATGCAAAGTGATGGACTAATACCTTTAAGATCAGACATAGACCAACCTATAGTTGACTTATACGTACGCAAGACCCTTAACAATTTATCTAGTTGCTCAGAAGTTAAACACGAGGATACAATTACCGGATACGTGCAATTATCACCCAAATATGCATATGTGAGGTGCTCCGGCAAAGGTTTAAGCTCCATAGTCGGTACGTCGGGCTTTGAGGGACTGGAATCGGGGGAAATAGGGGTGGAAACACCTGACACGACCTCCGACACGGTCGACATGACCGTGTCATGACCGTGTCGCGACTGCTCCTCAATTGCCCGTGTCTGAAGATGTGACACGACCACCTGACACGGCTCGTGTCGCAGGTCGTGTCGAGTTTGGGCGGCTTCTTCAACTCCCAGATTTCTAGCACGACCACCTGACACGGGCTGTATGGTCGTGTCACAGCCCGTGTCACCCCGACAGAGCCTACTTTTGCATCTTTTTATCTCCTTTTCGATCCCCAAGCTCAAAATCTCTTTCGACATGCTTTCCTCCTGCGTAGAATCCAAAGAAAACAAATATTCGTATAAGTTAGAGTCATTCAATTCAAGTATCGAATCATTAGGAGAACAAGACTTAATCAATCCATATTCCAAAGAATCTCTAGACAATGTATGATCAAGATGTGACAAGATGCATGAATCTATAGTATCAAGAAAATTACAATGCGCATTATTATCATGAAATTTCATAGCCTTATATATAAAAAATAACACATGCTCATCATTAACACGCAAAGTAAGTTCTCCCTTTTTGAAGTCAATCAACACATCTCCCGTCGCTAGAAACGGTCTTCCTAGAATCAATGGCACCTCGTTATCTTCCTCCATGTCTAACACAACAAAATCCACTGGAAATATAAATTTATCAATCTTGACAAGCACATCCTCAACAATCCCCTTGGGATATGTTATCGAACGATCCGCTAATTGCAAGGTTACCGTAGATGGCTTCACTTCTCCCAATCCTAACTTCCTGAAAATCGACAGAGGCATAAGATTAATACTTGCACCAAGATCACATAAAGCTTTGCTAAAGAAAATGTTCCCGATTGTGCAAGGCACAGTAAAGCTTCCAGGGTCCTTAAGCTTCTGAGGTATCTTGCGTTGGAGGATCGCACTACACTTCTCGGTTAAGTTCACCATCTCATGATCCTCAACTCGCCTCTTCTTGGACATCACATCCTTCAAGAATTTCGCATAATTTGGTATTTGTTCCAAGGCTCTGCAAAAGGAATATTTATATGAATTTTCTTGAATATATCTAAAAATTTAGCAAATTGAGCATCCAAATTCTTCTTTTGAAATCTTTGGGGAAAAGGTAAATTAACAGGATGTTTATGAGAATTAGAGTTAGAAGTAGATTTAAGCTTCTCAGCCCCTTTTTTCGACATGACAATCGGTTCTTTCTCCAATTCATCACGAACATCCTCTTCCTTTTCGCTTAGCTCCAAGCTCTCTTTCCCCTTCGGCTCACTCTCCTTCTCCTCCGGCATCTTCGGGCCTTCGTACTCCATTCCACTCCTTAGACGGATGGCTTGACATTGCTCCTTAGGATTCAACTCTGTATTGCTAGGGAATTGACCTCTTTGGTGCTGGCTCCCTACGACCTTGGCCAGTTGGCCAATTTGCGTTTTCAGATTTCTGATTGGTCCTGTCATAATCATCGTCCTAAAGCAATAGGTCGTGTCAAAATATTTGATTCTAAGACATGGTAGTAGATTAATAGTTTGGGATTTCTGATGATTTGTTATAATTGATCGTTTTCTTTTGAACCCTATTCAAATATTTCGTGCTTATTTCATGAATTGCAATTGGCCACTGCTTTACATGTTTGATGATATTGTTCATAATTCGAGAGATGAGTTCAATATTAGATCTTTAGGGGGTGATTGTTTATGTTTTGAATAGTAAAAAATCTAGAATTTTTTAATTATGGTTAAGTTTAAGAAAAAGTGGTATGGTTAGTTGTTAGTGGATATATTAAAACAATATTTAAAATAAAATAGTTAAAATCGATTTGATGTAAAAGTAAGAGAAAATGATTGGAAGTGATAGTTAGTTAAAATTAATTAAAATTATGTGAGTAGATGAATAGTGAATTAAAGTGATGTGATATGTAATAATGATTTGTTGATGTTATTTAATTATATAATAATATTGGAGATAGTGTGGTTGAGTTAAGGTTGAGTTAAATTTGAATTTGAGTAAAAAAATTACTGTACACATGGTAAACAAGCACCCCCTTAATATTTGACACAATTTATTTGCTTGAATCGAGAGATTAGTAGATAGTTGTGAGGATTTTGGGTCTTTTAATCTTTTTGGAGTTGAAAAGCATGTGTTGAGTGGAGACGCTAATATATGTGATTTAATCAACGGTTTTATCGATCTCGAGAGGGACGATAGGCTAATTTTGTGATCATCTTATAGGGTAGATAAAGAAAATAGTTAGTTGTGATATATTTGAAAGAACCCAACTGTTAATTGAACCCATAGTCTTAGAATCTACCATTCCCATATATTCTTCTTAACGTGTTTTTCTAGCTAGTTCTTTATTTTTGATTTATTATCTCTTAAATTATTTTCTTAGTTTAGATAATCACTCTTATATTCGGTTGTCTAGATAAAATTGGCGCTATCATAATCTAGTACTTGATTAATTGGTTGTTTGGTCTCTTGGGATACGACCTTGCTTGCCACGTACTACGAGCGAAGCCGTACACTTGCGGTCGAGCTTTAAATATATAGGCGAACATTATCCTATCTTGAGAAGTATGATTATACCTTAGCACGTATTGCAGGGATATAATCGTCAGGTGCATCTCTGAATTTAACCTCGGCCACGAATTTTCCCAAATGAATCCTTTTGGAGAGAGCCTGAAAGTACATTATTCAATATTTTTATTTTTTAACAAAAGAAACATTCCTAAACAAACATTTAAATTTTTAGGATTCATCGAAAAGCTTTGACAGCAAAGGGAACACAATAACGAACAACACTAATTGCATACATTCCATTCCGTTTCTTAGGAGCCTTGTAACTTTCCTTGATCATTTTTTATATTGTCTCCCCATTACTTTACCTGCAAACAATTTAGATCACTGGCGGCGGTGGGTGCGTAATTCCCATCACTACCCTCGCCGGCAATTAGAGGAAGTAAATTCTTGAGGTACAGTTCGTTCAGTATCTTATCATTTATGTTAATGGAAGCTCCTTGAGGATGCAGAACCTGAAATCGAAATCACCGTTAGTTGTACAAAGCCTAAACATCGAGCCTCGAAGCCCACTCCAAGTTATTCATATACAATAACTTTATCAACGATTGAACTCTTACCGGTGTATGATCATGTGATGGAAGTATTGGAGATGGTAAATTGTCGGGGAAAAACGCATTCTCTTCCTCGGAAGTATAACGGCCAGCCTACACCGACCAAATTTTTAACGCCCAGATGAGAAAACACGGTGCAAAATTTTCAATTTTCAAATAAAATAAGGACCAGAGTGTTATATTCATGGCTTAGTTGGTATTATTATCTACTCTCAACCAAGCATCAAAGGAAAAAGACTTCTTGTACCACTTTAAGAACACTTGTAAACTACAAAATAGTGATTAAAATCGGGATATATGTGTTAGGTAAAAACAATACGAAAAAAGATGACAAAGGCCTTTTTACCGCTCTTAATTTCCCTTTTTATCTAACAGATTAGTGAAATGCAAACAAAGTATAAGGAAATGCTACCGTCCGTTTACGGAACCATTCCGTCGTGGTTTGTAACCGTTAGATCATTTATCCCCGACAGAATGATTTCGTAACGGGACCCTAGCATCTATCCAAAGTATAAACTAGACAGAAATCAAAGATCAGAGAATTCTCCATACAACATGCTTATCATTCCCAGACAACATATCAAGAAGGTATAAAATTAGCAAAATACAGTCCAATTCTTTAGAATCTCCCTAAAACAATATATATACCTTTGCCTGAAGAGCTTCGGATTCCTTAATAAAGAATTCTAACAGAGAAGACGAAAATCTGTCTGAATACTTATCATCGTAAAGCCCTGAATTGATGGGGTATTTTGACCTCTCAATCAGACAGAAGACGATAGAATCTTCCTGTCGGACCAAACTCTTTCTCAGCGAGTCCAGATTCAGCAAGCTATCCGCTCTTTCGCAATCAGCCATACGTTGTTATATCAGAATTAGAGCAATACGCAAAAGAAAATAATGTCGGAAAAATGTATTGGAAAATGCTACGATCTCGTTACGGAACCATTCCATCGAGAGTTTTAATAGTTGGGTCATCTATCCTATACTTTTTTCTTTTGGTACAAAGTTGGAGGCCAGAGGCCCGAGGTCTATGAAACTATAATGCGCCATGGGTGAGCCACCCCTCGGAGATCATGATCAATCCATGCATCCAACCCTGTGGGAGGTGACATAACCTTTGGAAGCCTAGTGTAAAGATGCCACAAGTGTCGCCAGATGGTCAGCTGCAAAGTTGGCTTCTCGATGCACATGTTGAATACGAGCGCTCCAATCTCTATGCATTAAGCTCCGAATGGCCCTGACTAGTGACTCGTGGATGCCAAAATGGACTTGTGGACCAAGAATCACCTCTGACACACACTGACTATCAACTTCCGCTACAATCTGTCGGTGTCCCAACTCCCAAGCCAGCTATAAGCCTTGAAACAGGCCCCACAACTTGGCCCCGACGATAGTACCAAAGCCAATATTCATTAAAAAGTCGTCGATCCACTAACTGGACTCATTACGAATCATCCCCCCTACACTACGCTGGCCAGTGATGCGATTATAAGCCCCATCCGTATTTATTTTAACCCATCCTGAATCCGGTGGGTGCCACTGGGTGAAAGTTGCTTCGTCGATTTCCCTTCATAGACTTCCATTTTGATCCGACTTTTTCCATTGCATATAGATGTGTAGAGCCGCGTCGGCCTTCACGTAGGCCCCAACCGCTCTCTCATAAGCCTCAGATTTACGAAGAATTTCCAGATATCAAGCCTCACAACCTATGGACCGGTCATTGAAGATACTATCATTGCGCCATTGCCAAGAGCTCCATATACCAAACGCAAATTTACTGTTCCAGTCTTTGTGCAGACCTACTGGCGCCACTCCTAAATTGCATCTTAGCCATGGCCGAAGAGCTTGTCGAAAAAAACTGCGCGCAATATCTAATGGAGGAGCTTACGCCATACGCTCTTGGTAACCAGACAGTCGTGCAGGATATGCAAAGTAGTCACAGTCGCGCCACATAGCTCTCACTCAAACGAGGCGTTAAGATGCCATTAGGCTAGCTCGCGATTGGTTAATAAGCGGTCATGAGCAGCCAACCACATAAAGGTCCGGACCTGTTATGGTACAAAGGATGTCCATATCAGCTTCCAGAGCGGCCGATCCGGGTCTCTCCCAGAACGAATAAGCCGAACGCGTAGAGAATTGGCCGTCATGGGATGCCCCCCACGTAATGCGATTTGGCCCGGCTAATACTCGCGGGGGAGAAATAACCGCATTTCGCATGATAATGGCAGAAGGAAGGAGTCCGTAGAAGTCATTCATCGCTAATTACCCCTATCGTCCACGTACTCCCCGACATTCAGACTTAGGGTATCCTCGGGTGGCCTTTGAATAGCGTGATGAAGTAGCGGGCCGATTGTACCGACCCATGGATCCAACCAAAATCGCACTCTCTCCCCATCGCCGACAATCCTCCGAACCTCTCTCACCATGGCGGGCCAAATCTTACAAAGAGATCTCACAAGCGGGGATCCCATATGGCATCTGGAACTAATCAAATTATTCGATGGGGTAATTTCATACTTGGCTACCATAAGTCGTACCCATAGAGAGTTACTTCTCAGTAGAAGACCCTACCCCAGCTTCTCAAGAGGGCGTAGTTCATGTTGCGGAGATCCTTAATACGCAGGCGACTTCCTTCCATGCGACTAGGTGGATTTTTCTTTTGACGGCAGTACCACCCCAAATAAAGGCACGACTTATACGTTCCAACCCTTCTGTGATACCACCTGGTAACAAAGCAGCCTGCGTGGAGAAGTAAGGCAAGGAACTAAGCACTGACTGGGTGAGAGTGATGTGCCCAGCCGGTGAAAGCGACTTCATCCGCCACCCTGCTAGTCGCTCATCCGTCTTATCCAAAATGTGGGCAAAATTCGACTTGGTGACCCGGCCGTGGATGACTGGGATCTCAAGGTATTTCTCTAGATTGTCAGTCCATTTAAAGCGTAGTTCAGCCGCCAACCGATGTTGCTCGTCGAGACCAACGTTGCGTGAGAAAAAGACTTGCGTCTTCTCCGAACCAACTCTAAATCCCAACATATCTCAAAAGCAGTCAAGAACTTGCTTTAAAATCCCTACCTGCGCGGTTGAAGCTTCAAGAAATAGGAGTAGGTCGTCAGTGAACATTAAAAAAGGCATGGTGATCGCCCCTCGCCCGATAGAAATCGGGCTCCATGTTTGCCGTTGAACCGTCTGGTCAATAAGCTGTGCCAGTTGTTCCATTCACAACAAAAATAGATACGGGGAGATGGGATCACCTTGCTGAACTCCCCTGGAGGGTAGGAAATCGTCCCCGAGCGTACCATTCCAAAGCAGCCGCATTGAAGCAGATCGGACACAAGCCATGATGGCATCGATGAGGGCGGTGGGGTAACCGGCTAACTGTAGGGTCTTCTCTATGAAGTCCCGTTGAAAAAAAATGTAAGCCTTCTCTAGGTCAACCTTAATGACCATGTATCTCGTTGCTTCTTGCTTGCGGCGCATGGAGTGGATCAACTCATGGGCAACCACGATATTGTCAATGATCTGGCGACCTGGGACAAAACTGGCTTGAGCCGGATGAATCAACTCGGATAGCGAGCCTTTCATGCGGTTGACCAGCACCTTTGTAAAGAGCTTATAAATGACATTCAACAAATTGATCGACCTGAACTGTTTGATGGAGGAAGCATGCTCGACTTTCAGAATGAGGACAATTAGGGTTTGATTTATCTCATTGGGGACCGAACTGGCACGCCACATGTCGCATATAAATTCCCGAACCGAATGTCCTACAGTAGTCTAGTTTTTCTTAAAGAATAACGCATTGAGACAATCGATCCCTGAGGCTTTTAAGGATCCCATGCTATTAAGGGCTGAGAGTATTTCATCATCCGTAATCTCGGCTGCCATTGCCTGTAGTAAGTCCGCATCACATTGCTGGAAAAGGTTGGTGGCATTATCCACCCTAGTCGGTGGTTTCCCACCCATGTAAATTTTCTCGAAGAAGTCTGTAGCTAGCTGACGAAGGGCCTTTTGGTCATTAATACGATGCCCCGTCTCATCAACCAATTCTATGATCTGGCTACTTCGTCGTCGAAATTTATGTTGACGATGGAAGTACGACGTGTTCCGATCTCCTAAATGCATCCACTTTCTCGTGGATTTCTAGAGGAGAAGAAGCTCTTCCTGAAGAATGACATCATCCAATTCTGCGCGCAGTTGCTTTTCCAGCGCCACGAGCTTTTTTGTGAAGTAATATTTTCTGCTACGCTGAATGCCTCTAATGCGAGCGAGGAGTCGTTTCTTCCGAAGAAAAATATTCCCAAAAATCGTGGAATTTCCATTCTTGCGCCTTGACCGCATATTGCCGGGCCGCTAAAGGAAACCCAAGTGTTGGCTGCCACGCGTCTTGTAGGAAGGCGAGGAATTCCGGGTGGAGCAGCCATGAAGCGAGCAAGCGAAACGGTTTGGTGCCTTGGGCGACATGAGTTTGACGGCTAAAAGCCACCAACAGAGGTGAGTGGTCGGATTGAATGCGGGGGAGAAGACGCAACCGGCTATCCTCAAATCGATCCACCCACAAAGTATTCGCTATGAAGCGATCAAGCCTCTCCATAATACGACCCGCTGGCCCCTCCCAAATCCACGTGAATCGATGACTGTCTGTAGCCACCTCATGTAGCCCATTCGAGAATAGCCAATCCGCGAACTACTGACTAATGTTACAAAATTTGATCGACCCGTGTAAGAAAAAGAAATACCCTATTTATTGTTTTTTTTCTTTTTTATCAAACTTTGTGTTATTTGTTTTCCTGCAAGGTTGGGTGTGAAGGTAAAAGAAGAAATGAAAGTTGACAATTTTGGAAGCTTTTATTTCAAGAAATTGCGTTGTTTTCACTATCAGAAGATGATGGTGGTCCTGAGATTCCCTATTTGCTGGAAGCCTTAGTTTAGATTGTCGATGGTCGCATTAAGTTCTAGGTGACGACACAGGTGAACCAAGTCCCCTTAGAATTTACCCCCACAAAGTATAATGCTGGCCAAAGCACATTCCGTTTAAAGATACCATTAATGCTTTCTTTGTTTTCCCCTTTTTTGCTGCATTTGTCGCAAAACTCTAGCATATACTATTGATGCATTAGCAAAATTTCAAGTACTGTATGGTTATTGGCAGTTATTTTACCTAAGTACACCATTGCTATGCATTAGCAAAATTTCAAGTACTGTATGGTTATTGGCAGTTATTTTACCTAGGTACACCATTGCTTGTGATTTCAGTCTTCATTATAGTACATTGTGTTATGTTTGTGTTTTCAATGTGATATTGTTTAAATCTCTATAGAGTTGTTGAAATGGGCCCGGCCCGTAGCCTGCCAAAGCCCCTCACATGGTAGGGTGAGATGGCGGGCCTCAGAAATGCAGGCCCAACCCGTCCCTGCCTCAGGCCGCGGTTTTTGCGCGCTAGCCCGCCATTTAAAAAAAAAACATTGTATATAGCAAAACAAACACATAATATAGTTTGGCTTTGGGATTGTATGTTCGAAATCATGTTTTGGCCTTTCCCTGATTAGTTCATATGTTTGAAAGATTAGTTTTGTCTTATGGTTATTAGCAAAACATCAAGTATTGCATGAATTTGATTTTACGATTTGTCGAACGAGACAGAGTTTGTTATGGGAGAATAGATGCATCAGTGCTTAGTTTCAATCCTCTCTCTCTCTCTCTCTCTCTCTCTCTCTCTCTCTCTCTCTCTCTCTCTCTCTCTCTCTCTCTCTCTCTCTCTCTCTCTCTTTATGTTTCCCTTTTTTTTTTGGAGATCTAAACTCTTATAATAGTAAGTGTTCCACAGTTATTTCGTTTATTTATATATTTTTAATCAA